ACCCTGAAATATCAAATGGAACCCTATGATATCACCAAATGTCTGCTGATGATGATCAACCATGACCAAGTGTTAGCAATTTCACCAGAACAAACGTAACAAAACAGGGTAAGGTCAGAACAGGGTAAGGTCAACAAGGCTGTGTGATCTACTGACAGCTCCATGGCATGTGCACAACCAAACTTGGGTCCCTACAAGAAATATCCTGCTGGCATTCCTTCTGTCAACTAGAAACTGTGTTCATGAAATAAAGTTAACATAAATTAATTGGTTATTTTAGTTTTCTATTCCTAATTCTACCAGCCACAAAAGCAGGAAGAGAAACATTAGATATCAATGTATTTCAAATTTGCACTTAGTCTCAATACATCCCACCCTGGCATCCTCTCAGCTCCATTGTTCTGAACAAACCCTGAGACAGATAGTGATCAAGAGGATCAGTCAGGACTTCTGGTAACTGTATAGAAAATCAACTCTAGGGGCCGGCACTGTGGCATAGCGGGCTAGGCCTCCGCCTGTGGCACGGCATCCTATATGGGTGCTGGTTCATATCCTAGCTGTTCCTCTTCTGATCCAGCTCTCTGCTATGGCCTGGGAAAGCGTGGAAGATGGCCCAAGTGTCTGGGATCCAGCAGCCACGTGGGAGACCAGGAGGAGGCTCCAGGCTTCAGATAGGCCCAGCTCCAGATGTGGCCATCTGGGGAGTGAACCAGTGGATGTTAGACTCTCTGTTTGTAACTCTACCTCTCAAATAAATAACAAAAATCTAAAAAAGGAAGGAAGAAAATCAACTCTAAAAATCAAAATCATAAAGTTAACAGTAGTCCACTGGTTAAATGGTGAAACACAGAAACAGTTCACGAAGGGTGTTATATCCATTATGTCGTTTATCTCCCATTACAACTTTAGAGTTTGGTACTGTGCCCATTTAAGAAAGGGAAATGGTTCAGTAACTTAGCCAAATTCACATAATCAGTTAAGAGTATATATTTAAAAACAGTTCTATCAGATACCAACATCTTACAGTGCTTCTGCAACAAAGCTCCTGGAGTCCCCCTCTGAGAGCCCACTGTCCGTGAGATGCTCTGAGTAAAATACTTCCAGTGCCTCAAACATGTGCCAGCATTATTACCCTCCTTTCCCAGCTCCAGGAACTGAGGTTGAAGGATTTAAGTGGATTTGGCACAACAGCAGATGCCTGCATGATTTTGAATTTCAGCTAAAGGTTATCTATTAACAACTGCTGAGTGTACCTCCCTACTCACCCTTACACCATGCCAAGTACTCAGTACTGATTCCTGAGGTCAGTAATGGTCATTAAAATGGACAGGCACACATTACTGTATCATACATTAGTTTAAATGTCAAAGCATTCTATTCAGGCTTGCAAGACTTTTACTATGAGGGACTTAGAAGTAATTCCAATAAAACCATCCAGAGTTACTGGATGTGTTACCACATAACTATCCCCGGAAGGTGACACTGGAACTCATATTTCCTTATCTGCTGCCACCCATCACGAAAACAAGCAAATAACTGAAAATCACTGAGCTGAAATCAGTATGCATAGATGGCTTACATTATTATACCAAACATGTCAATACAGTCAAGGCAATAGACAGCAGGTATACAAAACAATGTTAACTCACCCAAAGCTAAATACTGTTGTAATACATTTAAAAAGCAATTTTGTTTGTCCTTTCAGAATTTAAGGACCTTTTCACCTTGTTTCGAAAATCTCTTTTAAGTTTAAAAAAAAAAAAAAAAACACAGAGCAGGGCTGGTGCTATGGCACAGCGGGTTAACGCCCTGGCCTGAAGCGCCTGCATCCCATATGAGCACCAGTTCTAGTCCCAGCTGCTCCACTTCCCATCCAGCTCTCTGCTATGGCCTGGGAAAGCAATAGAAAATTGTCCAAGTCCTTGGGCCCCTGCACCCGCTTGGGAAACCCAGAAGAAGCTCCTGGCTCCTGGCTTCAAATCAGCGCAGCTCTGGCCGTTGCAGCCATTTGGGGAGTGAACCATCGGATGGAAGACCTTTTTCTCTGTGTAACTCTTTCAAATAAATAAATTAATTTTTTTAAAAAGAGCATTTAATAGAGTTTAAACCAATGCATACCTTTCAATGACCACAGATGCCTTTCCCAGTACAAGGGTACTTCAGAAAGTTTGTGAAAAATGGAATTAAGAAGAAAATTTATTTTGCTGCAAAAAAAAATTTTTTTTAAACCCATGCATGGTTTCATCATAATATGCACCTTCCAGGCACTTGCTAAACACCCCTCATGTAAGCAGAAAGGAAAAAAATGCCCACATAAGATCTCTCAATCACAGACGCTCACTTTTGACTTTAAAGAAAACAGTGACTTAAAATCACAAGTGATGCTGCCTGGCCTGCAGGATTTCCAGATTCAGATCAACCCCCACCCCACCCCGACGCGCGCGCGCGCACACACACACAGGCTGTAGACGGGGTCGGCTGGCATTCAGCACCCATTCTCATCTCCCCCTGCCCTCTCCTCTCATCACAGACCGCAAGGATGCAAGGAGGTACCTACATTCCTCAGGCTCCCTTACGAAGGACATTCTGGATTCCACTGATTGCCTCTTTCCCTGTCTGCGCTGACAAGGATTTCTGTACAGTGCAGGACAGGAACAACAGAGTGGCTCTCCTTGCCTTGCTCCTCATTTTAGGTGAAAACATTTAGTCCTCCACCAACAATTCTAAAACTAGCTGGAGGTTTTCCAAGGAAGCTGCCTTCATTCCCATTTTCCTGACGTTTTCCTTCTATTCCTGTGTTTCGGGGTTTTTATCACGAATGGATGAGGAATACAGTTAGATGTTTTTCTGTATCTATTGAGATGATCACAGGAGTTCTTAAAATTATTTTCGTTCTGTCAATACTGTGAATTACACTTATTTTTCAACTACTGAGGCAATCTTGCACTCCTGGAATAAAAGACACTTGGGCATGATGTATTGTCTCTTTTATATTACTGTATTCAGTTTGCTAGAATTTTATTAAATAATATCTTTGTTTTTTTGTAGCAGGACAATAGTGGCCTCACTAAGTAAGTTCACGTTTCCCTCCATTTGTTTTCTGAGAAGTTTGTATATAATTGTTTTTCAGCTTGGGCAGAATTCAGCAGTAAGGCCATGTGAGCTCAGAGCTGTCCTTGTGGGAGGGTCTGTAATTACACACTCAATGTCTTGAATGACAGTTGCACTTCTTCTTGAGTGTGGTTTGGTAACTTGTGTCTTTGATGTAATCTGTCCATTTGGCTTACCAAAAGTGCTAATTCTAAGTGGTTCATAATATTCCCTTATTATCCTGTAAGTATCTGTAGGATCTGTTTTAATGACCTCACATTCTCTGATAACAGGAACTTCTGTTTCTTCTTTTTTAGTTCTGGATTAGGCTGGCTGTGGGTTCACCAATTTTACCCCATCAAAGAACCTGCTTTTGCATTCACTTGATCTTTCCCCCTTTTTTCTTTTGTTTTCCATGTATTGATTTCTTCTTTTTATCAGTTCCTTCTGTACTAGATTTTAATTTCCACATCAGTGTCTGATTTCTTAAGGTGAAAGCATAGGTCACCATGTCAAAACTTTTGTTTTCCAAAATAAGAATTTAACACCATAAATTCCTCCTTAGAGTAGTGCTTTATATCCTCTGCTTTGATGCGTTTTCATTTTCATTCAATTCAAAATATCTTCTGATTTCCCTCGTGACTTCCCCTTTGACCCATAGGTTTTTAAAATGTGACAATGCATTTCAAAATACATGGGGAATTCCCAGATATCTGATACCAATTTCTATCTTAATTTCACAGATGTCCCTAAAAACTTACCTGTAAAGTGAAAGTACGGAAATCAAATTCCGTTCACCAAGGTCAAAGTGAGGAAGGCTGATCAGGCGCCAGCTTCTGGGTTAGCAACCTTTCCCTACCTTATGTTCTATCTCAATGCCACTCAAAACCAAAAGACTGGTGACTCTCTCTACCCATCCAAAAGCAGACACAGATTGGGGTGGGGGAAGGGAAGGAACGGAAATGCCCCACACATCACCTCATTAGATTTCTGCAGCTCTAGAATATGAGTAAGACACGCAGCAATTTGCTCACGAGGACAGGGACACTAACACTAGGCCCTCCAGGTCTGCTGGGACTTCTTGCTCCTTATTTACCCCACAGAGTACAGAACATGGAAATCCATAAATAATGCAAAACCTCATTTCAGACAGTGTTGGAACCACCCCCACCTCAGTTTAGAGTAAATTATAGTAAAATCAGCCACGCCGCGGCTCACTAGGCTAATCCTCCACCTAGCGGCGCCGGCATACGGGGTTCAAGTCCCAGTCGGGGCGCCAGATTCTGTCCCAGTTGCCCCTCTTTCAGGCCAGCTCTCTGCTATGGCCAGGGAGTGCAGTGGAGGATGGCCCAAGTGCTTGGGCCCTGCACCCCGTGGGAGACCAGGAGAAGCACCTGGCTCCTGCCTTCGGATCAGCGCAGTGCGCCGGCCGCAGCGCGCCAGCCGTGGCAGCCATTGGAGGGTGAACCAACGGCAAAGGAAGACCTTTCTCACTCTCTCTCTCACTATCCACTCTGCCTGTCAAAAAAAAAATATATATATATAGTAAAATCAACTAAGTTTTTAAACCTTCACTTATAATATTTATCATATTCACTCTTGGGAAAATTCAGATGATATCAAACAGATAACAGAACAAGCTAAACCACAGAAAATAAACAGTAAATGGATAAAAAATAAAGGGTGGAAAATGAGAACTCAGTTTAATAAGTATATATCAAGGCTTTTTTAATCTTTAAAAGTCCTTAATTATTAACTAGAATCTAATATTTATACACTAAAATATATTAACACCAAATATTTAATTTTAAAAAATTAACATGTTGCACCATTCTATTTCCAATTAAATTCCTAAGCTTCAATGCTACAGCAATTAAATGGCTTTAAAGGTAGAACACGCACATTCTTACCAGGTAGTTGTTGACTCAGGGGGTCTCAGCGATTTCCCTCAGGTGGCATTACCACTTTTGGCTCAGATATTAGTAGTGACAGCAATCAAAATTAAAACTAGAAAGAAAAAGAAAGACATTAAATATTGGTAGGCAAGCCACATTCAAGTCTTCAAAAAGTCTTCCATTTAATTTTCACATTTGAACAAATTTATTGGTAGAGCTCTAATCCCAGAACTAGTCCTTTTTTAGTTAGCTCAAACAAGGAGCTAATGAGGTATGTGAATTCCTACATAATTCTAACTACTTATCCTGGAATCACTTCTGAAATTAACTGCAACAACTCAGTAAATAACAACCAAAGAGCAGAAAAACAAAAAGTCAAGTATATTATAGGTATATTCAACTGAGCTACTCACTTCATTTACTCAACAACAATACATACACTGAACATTTTGTTCGTGTCCACACAATGACCTGAATAATATAATCATTCCCATAAAAACTGTACCTAATAAGAGTTTTCTATTAATTTTTCCCACAGCAATATTTAAATTCAATACAAATCTTGATAATTTTATAAATATTTTAACAGTACCAGTGGGGAAAAAAACAGTAGCAAAAACTTGATACTGCCCAAAAGACCTCTAAAATGTTTCCAGATACTGGATATTCACAGCAAGACTAGACAACAATCTGATAAATATTGTTTACCAATGTGCTATAGTTTTGAGGTGACAAAATGTATGATATAGTTCCCTATTCAGAGTTATGGTTTACTTGGGAAGAATGGGCAAGAAAAATTCCGTGAATGGGCATTCATGCGTTCAGCACCAAAGGTCTTGTGAGTTAGTCCTCCTTCAAACATGCGAAATGAGGGAGAAGACACCGTTCAGCCTGGGTGGGAGCAGCTCCATGCAGGTAATCAGAATACAACAAGGTGGGCACAAGAAAGTAGAGTCTGGCTGCCCAGCAGCGGGCAGGTGTGCCTACAGCCTCGTGAAGAGGGGTCCAGACACAGGAATGTAGAAACGGTGCGATTTCAGTACGAAGGAAAGGCAATGTTGGGTCTCAACCCCTAAGAGCTACATGCAGGTCAGCAGATTCTGACAGCCTACACGGTTAAGACCGCCATCACCCAGTGGAAAGTCTAAAAAGCTTCTTTTAGACTTTCACACATGTCCCATTTTGCTCATTTAAATGGAAAGCACACAGAGTTTTCTGCTCTGCCTTAGGAACAGCTGCAGAGCAAGCTCTAGTTGATGCAGAGGAAACAAAATTTTTCCCGAAGTAATTTGCCCAAGTGAACACCTTACTTGGAAACACAGAGAAGTATCCCTGGGTGCCGGGTCACCCAGGTCTCACTCTGCCTGCACCGGATCCTCTGATTGATGGGATCACCTCAGGAATAATGGTGGCGTGCACTTCACTTCAGAGGCAGTTACTCTCCTGACTGCACCCAGGACTCTCTGGATGGCCCTGCTGAAGAGTCACATGTGAAATCTCCCTCTGGGGGACACCATGATGAACTGCCCCATTTGTGGGAGAGGCTTTGCAATTCCTATTCTCGCTGCCAGCCATTAGTTAGCAGAGGCAGTACTCGGGGCCAAGCATGCTGCTAACACTTCACATCAGATCATCATTATGAAATGAAGAAAACAGGATCTGAAGGAGACAGGCCCAGGATCACACAGCTGGGAAGAGTCTGTGTGACTGCAGAGCCAAGAGCCTCACGTCCACATTAGCCTGCCTCCTTCTGCATGTGTGGACTGTGCCTTTTTCTTTCCTACCAGGCTACTAACACTTCTAACCGACGTCAAGAATCACAAAGGCCTTGAAGAATGAGTAACTTGAAAGAATGTATCTTTAACTCCTCTGAAGTTATAGGTCAAGGACCTTTAATGTGGGATACTGGTTGGCATGGGGACACACACTTGTAACAGGCAACACCATCATTTTAATCCTGCTCCTGCCTGGCCCGTCGTTAGGCTGAGTGATGCTCACAGCGCTCCTCTGCAGAAACCACCCAGGAGCACAGATGCCCAGTAGCATCCATCCTCTGAACTCACGTCGTGAGACTCCCCCATCCAGGAATGCCCTCTCCGGTTCCAGCTCCCAGGTATCCAAATCGTCTCTAGCCTTCAGGATGCAATCCCCATGGCCACCCTCATCCATCGTGCCTCTCTCTCTGCTCCATTGTCACCTACTTCTCTCGGTTATGGGTCAGGCATCCCCAAGCACCTGTCGGTCCTCCAGAAGAAAATTTACATGAACAACCAGGCAGTACTGCTGTGACCAGGGCTCTATCTGGTGCTGTAAACTGAGCACGTGGAGGGAGTCCGCCACTGGAGAGAGCCAGCAGAGGGAAGGCTTCCCAAAACCGGAAACCGAAGTGGAGCCTTAATCCAGACCAGGCAATGCAGACCTAATCTAAAGAGATAAGGGAGACATTTTTAAAGGTAATAAATCTTTTTTTTTTTTTTTTGACAGGTAGAGTGGACAGTGAGAGAGAGAGACAGAGAGAAAGGTCTTCCTTTGCCGTTGGTTCACCCTCCAATGGCCGCCGCGGCCAGCGCGCTGCGGCCGGCGCACCACGCTGATCCGATGGCAGGAGCCAGGAGCCAGGTGCTTTTCCTGGTCTCCCATGGGGTGCAGGGCCCAAGCACCTGGGCCTTCCTCCACTGCACTCCCTGGCCACAGCAGAGAGCTGGCCTGGAAGAGGGGCAACCGGGACAGAATCCGGCGCCCCGACCGGGACTAGAACCCGATGTGCCGGCGCCGCTAGGCGGAGGATTAGCCTAGTCAGCCGCGGCGCTGGCCTAAAGGTAATAAATCTGAGAGGTGTGGGTCCTGGGTGAGAAGTGGGTGCAGGGGCCCAAGCACTTGGGCCATCTTCTACTGCTTTCCCAGGCCATCAGCAGGGAGCTGAATGGGAAGTGGAGACTCGAACAGGAACCCATATGGGATGCCAGCATCACAGGTGGTGGCTTTAGTTGCCACACCACAGTGCCAGCCCTGCAGCTCCCTCTTAACGCACCTGGAAAAGCAGCAGATAACGGCTCAAGTCCTTGGGTCCCCATCACCCACATGGGAGACCCAGATGGAGTTCTGGGCTCCTGGCTTTGGCCTTGCCCAGATCTGGCTGCTGCAGCCATCTGGGGAATGAACTAGCAGGAGATCTCCCTCCCTCTCTGTCTCTTCCTCTCTCTGTCACTCTTTCAAATAAGTAAGTCTTTTAAAAAGATGAACAAATCAGTGTACAGAGGAATAAACTAGGTGATCTTTAAGGACCCCATCCCCCCTAAAATCCCATCAAAAATGGACTTCCCCCTCCTCATTTGGGTTCTGAATATCACCCCCAACAGGGAAGCATCAGAACTGCCTCCAGGTCTCAGGTCTAATGGTTAAAATACTATTAACAAATCAATACTCCTTACACCATTCAGTGACAAGAAACCAAGGAAAGTCTACGTTGTGAAACTACAGTGAGCCACAATGTGGGGAGTCACCACAGCCCCAAGTTATGCCAGGATAAACTGTCTGGCAAAAACCGTCTTTTCCTTTAAAGAGTGGGGCCAGGGAGGGGAGGACCAGGCAGCTTTAGGTCCCCTCAGCTGTGTTAGACCTCTCGCCTCCGGAGCCGTTCACCGCACACGCGGCTTCCGTTCCCCTGTGTTCTGATGATGGATGTGACTGCATCTACCTCACAAAACATTCAATGCTGTTTCACAGGGCCTTTTATAAGGTGAATAATAAGGTTTCCCCTAGTAATATGTCCTTTAAATCTTACTCAACTGCGACATACAAAGTCAACATGAAATGAAGACTTCTGTAATTCAAGAATGGTTTACCTGAGAACAAGTTGTAGCTAAAGGATTCATTGCTAATCTGCCAATATTACGCTAATCTGATTGTATTCGGCTTTGTCTGCTATTTTGGTCCTGGTCGTCTCCCCTAAGCCTCCAAGTTCCAGTTCTCCAGAACTCAGAAGCCAGCACGGCTCCAGAGCTCACACATGCTCCCGATATAGCTCTGCTTCCCCACTTCTCTGCAGCACTCCCTCCTCAACCAGGCTCAAACTCCAAATGCTTCCTTCCGCCTCTACCCATGAGATCACACCACCAGTGCTCTGAACTAGTCACAAATGAAGTCCTATTTATGGGACTGTTGCACACTATGGAACACGTAGCCACTATCAGCCACAGAGAATGTCAAAATATGCACTTATTGTCAAGAAGCCTAGATCGAACAGAATAAAACAGTGATCCCTGGGTTTCTCCCCACTGTCATTCAGGCTGACCACCTGAGCTTCAATACCCCAGTCCTACAACTTTTAAATCAGCACAAGTATAAACACATTCGTTTTTGGTCCCACTACTCACTTCAAGGTACAAGCGAACTCTAATAAGAAGGTGAGGTGAAAACAACATTTAGCAATAATGTAACATCCAAGCCCCTGAAAGCTTTACTTAGTGGAGAAAAAAAAAAAAAAAAAAAAAAAAAAAAACACAAATAAATATAAAATGAATAGCAAAGAGGATAGTGCTCAAAGTTAAAATTAAAATGTTACTTGGCATTCACTGAACACAGATACATATCACATTCTCAGCCATGTGCATTCTCATTTGAATAATTAATGAAATACATTAACTAGGGGCTGGCATTGTGGCACAGGGGGGTTAAACCACCACCTGCAAGCCCTACATCACATATGGATGCCAGTTCAAGTCTCAGCTGCTCCACTTCTGATTCAGCTCCCTACTAGTACACCCGGGAAAGTAGTGGAAAACAATCCAAGTCCTTGGGTTCCTTTCACCCATGTGGGAGACCCACAGATGGAGTTTCAGTCTAGTCCAGCCCAGGCTGCTGCAGCTATGTGGGAAGTAAGAGAGAAGATGTATGATCTCTCTTTCCGGTTTTCCCTCACTGTAACTAACTCTAAATTTCAAATAAACAATCCTTTAAAAAATAAACTAGGTTGGGCCAGTGTGGCATCCCATATGGGCGCTGAGGAGTCCTGGCTGCTCCACTTCTGATCCAGCTCTCTGCCATGGCCTGAGAAAGCAGGAGAAGATGGCCCAAGTCCTTGGGCCTCTGTACCCATGTCAGGGACCCAGA